TGATGTACAAATACGCTTTACACAATTGATGTGTGTATGGATTGGGATAACAGTTGTATGAGCCCCTAATAAAATGTTTAAAAAAAAAAAAAGATGGGGGTGGGGGCGGGGGACAAGGGGTGAGGTGCTGCTTTTCCTCTCTTTAAAAAGCAGTGAAGATTTCTAAAATGCAAATCATCAAAGCACTTCTTGCATTAGTGTGTTCCTTGAAGTTACTTGTCAGGAATTTCTGTAATCTTTCCAGGTCTCAGATCCTTCATCCATCTGGGGTAGGACAACTCTCCTTTGTGCGACAGCCTCAGCTGCCTCCCTTTGTCAAAGTGAGTGCTTAGGGTCATTTGTAGACTGCTTTGTCATCCTGGGGGGGCGGGGGCGGGGGGGGGGGGCAGTGCTCGAGAGCTGATAGAGGGGGCCCAAGGCAGCAGAGCTAAGACTTGTACCTAGAAAGCTGCCTCTCTTGGCCACTCTTATAACGCCTCCCACAGACACATTAATTTGTCTGACTACTGTGGATGTTGGTCAATAAAAAAGTCAATTGTCTTTGAACTTCAAATGCAAAGGATCAACCGGGTGTGTTCTCATGGTCCTAGCTAAGCATGCTGCATATTCACTTAAGAAACACAGCTCCCAAATAGTAGACGCAAAAAGTATTGTGTTCAGATGCCTAGATTACCACCGGTAAAGCAAGGTGATTGAATGATGTCTGCAGGTTTCTAAGAGACAGCTACTTAAAAACACACACACAAACCAAACTCTAGGCCATACTCACCTTTCTTGAGTAACGGCACTATTCCTTAAAATTTCCAGTTCATTTAATGACATTTTATGCCTCTCTTTGATTTCATTTACTTTCTGGTGAGCTTTGTGAAGCAAGTTAACAAACTTGTTTCTTTCATTTCGAATACTGTCATAGAGTTTAGCAAACTCTCTGAGTCTGTGAAAATACAAAGTGTTTTTGGAAAACTCATGACACAGAAATCTCAGGGCTTCCGCACCATCCGCCCCAGGGCTTTCTTTCCTTCCGCCTGCACATGTAAATCATTGAGTGATCCTTTACCTTCGATGAATTTCACGTTTTTTCTTCCTGTGAATCCTGATTTCAAGATCCTTTGCTTTGATTTCTTTAATAATGTTGGCATATTTTTGCTGAAATAGAAAAATTATGTGTGAAAAGAGAAAAACAAAACCTAAGAGTACCCCCAGCCTCCCCACTTCCTTATCGGCTCATTAAGGAACATCGGTCAGGCAAAGGGTCAGGGAGAGAACTGACCATTGCTTGGCCAGCTGAATTGCGTCACAGTGAGTCGGTCAAAGATGCTCTTTAAGAGGAGAAAAAGAAGAGCCCGCCCAGGTGGGGTCTGAGGGAAAGTTTGGGAGACTTGTGGGAGAGAGGAAGGACAACTTCGGGCAGCTCGGCTGTTCTGGGTGAGTATGGAGTTTGTGTAAAATAGATGCGGGACAAGGATGTGGAACAAGTTTTGATAAATGCTCTGAGTTGAAACCTCTGTGGTATCTGTTGAGAGTTCTGAATGATGAGTTTAAAGTGCTTTCCCTTATTTTGTGTATTGGCTGTATTTCCTGCCATGCTGAGTCCAGCCATAAGGAGGTGTCACGTGGATATTTTAGATGCCAGTTATTATACTGCTGAAGTCCTGGAAATATACCCACTGCTAAATGCAATAAGGAACCCTTGTGGCATGGTAGGTTACGGAGTGGGCTGGCACAAGTTCAGCCCTTTGAAACCACCAGCCCTCCCCCCCCCACCCCCACAACCCTCATGGCGCCCTGATTGTAGATTGCTAATTATTTTCAAATCTCACTCTGACCACCGTCTCCCTTCCC